AAGCCTCTCCTTAAAATTTTTCCCGTTTAATCTCTTCGTCACACGATGCTACACGACCTGATTAACAGATGTAACCGTTTTTCCCACCATACTATGAACCCTGCCAGCAAAATAGCCTAAGCACCAAACATACCCTATTAAAATGCAAGAGCGTAGAAGACGCTAGAAACTAGCTCTAAATACCTAACAATATAAACATTTGAAACAAGAAAATCTCAAAAAAACAACCGACTTATCCGTAAAACAAGCCTTTATCGTGAAGTACAGCTATGAAGTACAACAACTATGGTCGCTAATAACTAAAATGCCCACGCGAGCTTAAATTATATTTAAAAAAAAAAATACACGTGTCCTGTCTTTACGATTGCACAAGGTGGTCCTATTACACTACAACTAACCAAACCCGCATTCCATACGTTACCCAACTTCTCATCTCTGCATAGTAAGCGAAGCGCGGGTATTCTCGAACGCGGAACTCAACCGCCGTATCTTTCGGAACAATTTCCTCAACGCTCACATTGTATCACGGTCGCCGGTTGACAAAGATGAAAAATTAACCGGAGGATTATAGTCATTATTCTTGCGCAATGCTGCAGCTGATAGCGATTTGTCTGGGACGCCGCATTCCATTGGCGTTGACAAAAGGATCAACCGGTGCCCTCAGCCGTGCCTCTTTTCTCGTATTCTCCGACGCGTGAACCTTTTGTACGCAAGGCGAATTCTTCTCGGTCGTTGGTTCGTTTGTAAATTATTATCGGGAATATGCTTATCGTTCCGCGGCTTGAACGTATATCGGTAAATCATAACCGAGCCCTTTTCCCGTCGTATTGTCGATTCGTAAATTGTTGAGTTCGCTGTGGTATTGTACGCGGCGCGTACCCTGTAATTACTTAAGTTGTCAGAGCATGATAGCTTAAGGACAATCGTAGTTGCCATCGAAGGTTACTAACATTGCGATGCGCGGATCGAATGAATCGCGTCGCGTCTGTATCGTAGCTTGGTGTCAAGGATGGACTCCATTTGCAGCATCCCACTGATCTGAATTCGTTATGGGTTGAGGTGTTGGTCTCGTCGATCAATTAGCTCCAAGTACGAGGTATGGAGATGCGTATGGTGATTTTAGAAATTACGGGACTTTTGATAGGCAAGTTAAAGAATAGCGAGAGAAAATTTTACAGTTTCCTTAACTCTTTGGGGCGCAGTATTTTAAGACAGAAAAGATTCCAATTGCACCGAAATTTTACTTAAAAAAATACCAAGCTTTGTTTTATATTATTTATAAACGATAAATTATGATACAAAACGACAAAAATTTTAAAAAGAATGCTTAGTGGGGCATAAATAGTCCCACCATGAAACTTCAATATTTCTCTTAAAAAACGACCGTAATCTCTTTTAATTTGATTAAATCATTCGCTGGGAAGGACACAAAAGTTCAATATTTCGGAATGAAAGGAAGACGAACACGTATCCGACGTTTATGGCAGTCGTCAACGAAAAGCAGTATGCACCGTGGCCTGAAACAATGGTGTATCTGTTGGGCGAGGGTCAACGGACATTACAAGGTAAAGTACGCATGTCTTTGACCGGGATGACATGCAGAAATACCATGTTTCATCTTGATGAGAGGAAAAGCCTTAATGGCGCTGTAGATTTTAATTATACAATGCTCGTACACACACTGTACCCAACACAGGCTGTGATTTTAACGGAATATCGTGGAAATAAATAGAACGTTGGAATAATGCATGGGTTTCCGAATCAACCTGATCACGGAAAAATATATGCGGAGAGCCACTTATTTTCTGTTAACAACTGTTTCTCTCTCTCTCTCTTTGTGAGTGTCGTGAGTTAATTCGCATTCAGTCCGTGCTGCATTTGTTTCACAGATAGCAACAGTGCGACTGCTGGTTGCCAGCTTGGATCTTTATCGAGTTGGCTCGCGATTTACCGTGAATAAATATGCCCTTATCGCGACGTTTATCGCTTGTAGGTGATTTTAGAACGGTACTAACTGGGATGAGCAGCCTGCGCTGGCGCGATTAGGGATGTTGGTCGAATTAGGGGGGGAACAATTTTCAGGACCGGTGGAGCGACTCAACTGGAGGAACGATTAATGTAAAGTAACGTTCAGTTCGAAATGTAATATCGTAAGATTGACCCTAATATATTTCTGCATCGTTTTATCTCCCTTTGAATACCTATTAAAAGGAAATTCGAATTCTACTGATCGGAGATGGGATTGCGATACTCGTATATAATTGTTATTTAAACGACGAAACGTTCTGTGGATACCCTCTTATTTCGTGTTATCTCCTGCAAAGTGTTTAGAGAATCGAAATACAGCGTTATTTTACAACTTAGAAAGCTACATCACGGATAAAAAAAAATTGACAAAATACTGTGCATTTTGTGTAACAATTTTATTAAACTCAGTATATATCACACTTGTGAATCGTCAAATTCTTCGCTAAAGAACAAAGAGACAAAAAATTTGGACCGCTAAAAGACGAGTTACGTTATCCTCCACCGGAGAGAGTGAAATTTCGAATTGCACATTTGAAGAAAACACCTATCTCGTTTGAATGCATTGCGACGAGGGCAATAACGCGCTCATTTCTTCGCTACTCGCAGCAAAACGACACGCAAACAGCAGAAGGTACCATGTGCACGCGAGAAATATGCGTACGTCAGTGTCTTCGCTCTTTTGCGTCTTTCAAACGCCGAACGCATCCATATTTTCTCTCGCGGTGTAGAACGACATGCCGGGGAAGCTAGACGAAGGGATCCAAGTGGCAAGGAAAGGCAGGTCGAGACACTCGGCGAGAAAAAGAGAGAGAGAGAGAGGCCGAAGAACGACGGATCATCATCTTCACGCGATGCCAAGCGAGGCGAACTTATGTAATGCTTTCATGCAAGACAAGGCCAAGGTTTTCGCGATGCAGAGCCAGTGTACGTGTGGTCCGCCTATTTCATATTGTTTTATGTCACAGTCGGCGACGCATTTAATTACGCCTATCGAAAGAAATGCTGCGGCTCTTGTTACCCGGACCACCGAGATGGTGGAATTTAGGAGTCGGCAGCCAGCTACAACGCGTAACAGGACAATGCCGGATTGTATAATTTTCTCGCTTCTTCTGAGCGGGACAGCTTCCCTTCTCGAAATAATATTCAAGTGTCGCGTGTCTTGTATGCGCAATTACCTCGGAGATTGTTAGAAATGTGAAAAAAGTTGCTCGTATAAAGGCTGTTTCGGGCGAAGTTGAAGTTTTAGTGTGGCTGCCGCTTCTGGAGACTTCAATGCCGTTTTTGAGATTGGAAATGCTGTAAAAAGCGGTTATTTATGACCCTTTAAAACAAACACTGTCTATAGTTATTTTTGTGTTTTTTGTGGAAAATATTTGAAGTGAGATTGTTGGAATTTGTTACTCCGTTGATTTTTAGCAATTTTCGAAGGAAAACGATGAAGTTTTTATTTTTATTCCAAGTTAATTCTGGTTTTATATGTTTTAATTTTTTCATTATTACTATGCATTTATATATTTAACAAGTTTATGTAATTAATTAATGATTTATAATGTATTGTAATAGAGTATATAATTTCCTGCAACCGTATAAACTCTGCAAATAACGATCTTCCAAAACAGCTAAATTCAGCCTTTACACGAGCACCTTTTTCAGTATTTTAAGGTAAATAATTGTGCGTGGCGTATTCAAATTGGTCGCAGCGCACGTTACCATAGAAATTACCGCACGATTTAAACCATAATTATAGAACGACCCTTGTTCTCAGACTTTTAAGATTAAAAATCGCAATCTTTTATGTACATTGTTCTATATTTTTAACATATTCTCAAGAAGGCGTGGAATTGACATTGAAAGCATTTTCTCTCGTTAAAAGCACTATCACCTCGAATCTTCTTATCTTTTGAGAAGACCTTCTTCCGTTTTCTCACTTTCGTTGCTCCCCTTCGTTCGAAGCACCTTTGTTTGTTTCGTTCGCTAATAACGGGAAACGGTGGAATGGAGCAGGCATCGAGAAATCTTTAACGTGTTTCTCGGAAGCCGGGTGAGAACAGTTTTTTCCCGTTATTCGTCACTCTCATTGTCAATAGGCATCTTGTCCAGCCTGCCACTTATGTCACCAACTAAACAACTACATACGCGAATTAATTTCAACTTCAATTGCAATTTCACGGGATTACGCAGATTGACGTGTAAGCTGTTATTCACTAAGTTCTCGTAATTTTTACTTGCCAACAGCAAACAGAAATGACATCAGAACGACTGGACAAAAATAATCGAACATTTTTACGTGGTTACATATTTGCAAATTATGCAGTTATTGAATAACTGTCATCGCAGCGAAACGTTTTCCTGTCGAGTGTTTGCGCATTGTAGTATAGAAGAACGTCCATATTTTCAATATTATACCATTGTCGAATTTATTAAATTTCTCATCGAAAGATTGTCTCTTATATTCACTTGTGAGTGAAAAAGTAGCCTAACAGACTGTGAAGAAAAGAAAAATTTGGTCACGGTTCGACTGTTACACAGCTGCTGTAATGATTATTCCAACGCTTTAATTTTCCTTTCATAGATACCCAAAACTAATGGGCGAAGCAACCGATTGTATTGCATTATTCATAACATTTTACTCGTGTTATGCACGCTGCCTATAAAACGGGTTTTCCCTTAATAGATACAGTCACGTTTCTTCTTCGTAAGCCTCATGCGTTCGCCGCGAAGCACGTCAAAATGATTTCCGGTATGGATCATAACGGAGTCGTGGTGTAAGCATCCGAATATCTGGAGACGAAGATAATTGAATCACCTTCCGAAATTTCATATCTAATCTAATCTCCGATAAGAATTGCACATAATCGTAGATCATAAGTTCTCCATCGATGTTAATAAATTTTCAACTCTCGAACGTGAAACCTGTCATACTTTACATCCTGTCTATTGTACGCGCGACAGTTTTCAATGTTCACACTCACCTGATAAGGATAACCACTCGGCCTGTAATAGCTGCCGGTGTTTATCGCCGGGTAGCTTTTGCTGCTGCCACACATAGAAGCCATCTTTCTTCAATTTTTCTTCGTTCTTCTCCTTCAACACCAGCTTCTTGCTTCTCTTCTTTTCCTCACATTCAACTTTCAAAGACAATGGGAACGCGTTGTCGCCGCCTCAAACGTTTCGAGACGTGTTCATTGTTGCGACTTATCGTTTCTTTTTCACTAGGGAACGATTACGCCGCGATTGTTTCAGAAACGGGGCGAAGAAGTTTATTTCTAGCGAAATTCTCTAGACACACCTACTCTCCCGATCACAGATTCGTGTGCGCCGCACACATTGTCCGACGATATTTTCACGTTGCCGTGAAGGAATTCAAGGTCACGGAGTAAAACGATTTTTTTTTCAGAGTCCAGAACGGTCCCGTTAAGCACAGTTCTCGATATATTTATACGTGACCAGCATTCCTTCTTTTTTTTTTCCTACCTTTTAATGGGCCTACACGTAAAAAACCAGTTCATTCTTCGGACTTGTTTTAAATGGTTCAGAATCTCGTTGATCTCATTTTCTTTCATTCAAAACAATTTCACTATACGTTCGGAGGTTCGTACGTTTCGATATTCAGCTTCGAGATATTATTCTTCCTTAAACGACACATCAAAGCTCTAATTTCTTCTCGACAATCAATCACGAAACAACGTTTCTCAGTCGAAACTTCGATCGCACAGTTTTTTCAGACTCTATCTGCCGAATAGTCACGTGTGTTCACGATGTCGAACGCGTTCGATAAATAGCAGAGAAAGTTTGTCAAACGGATTGTTCCTTCGATACAGAGTAAAGTTCAGTAAGAGAAGCGAGAGACCAGACAGAAAGCACGCGGCACCACGTCCTTTCTCCGAGACGGTTGACCACCGACTGACAGTAGGGGATCTTCACGCACCGCCGTTCTTCATCTTCATCCTTTTCCGTTCAGCTAACCGGCACTGTTCGCCACTCATTCGATTTCTTCTTAGACAAGCGAGTTAGCTTTGTCGGCTAAGCATCGCTTCACGCTACTTTACTTTTTGGCGGGATCTCTTCCTCGTGGAAACAGACTACCATTTTTCTCCCCTTAATTTTCATCACTGCTTCGTTCCTCTCTCTATCTCTTCTTCTTCTTCTTCTCTCACTAAAGATCCTGTCCTTTACTCTCCTCTCTATTCCCTTCTCCCTTCGTTCCACCTCTGTTTGTTTCCTCGTTCGTTTCGAGCTGGCTGGTTTGTGCCTCACGGTCGGCACAGCAATTTGTTCCGAACTCTTTGCCAGGCGTCGCGATCAGAACCGACCGATTATCAACAAAAAAGTCGTCGAGATCTCGCGATATCGTCTCACTCGACACGCTGTGTAATGAGAAAATAGCATCCCAGGCGTCATCGTTCGTTTCAGCGCTGCCGCACGGTGACTTCGATAGCCGCGTTCCGATACCTCACGCCGGGTGATTTCAATGCGCGCACAAGGCACGTCATTCGGCGTTCAACTCTCTCGCCGGAGTTCATTCCTTTAAGTTCCTTACAACGTATAGTATCGAGCAAACAGACCCAATTCTTCTAATTGTATCGTAGCTCGAGGAATTCAGCTTGCGTACTGTAAATGCAATTATTGCTTCATATCGGCCCACTGAACGTATATACATATAATGGCTTGAGATATCCGTGGATACACGGCGTAATAATGGCCGAGCGCCAACGGTTGATTAATAAAATTCAAAGGAACGAAATAACTGTACCGGGATAACTGGCATTCAGGGATTCCAGAGACTCAGGGCCGCGTTCGTTATATTCAAGAATGATCGAAACATTAGGTTACTATGGTCTTACTTCTGCTCGTTGTAAAATTCTTCTTATTATCCGTGTCCGCGTAATTTTAGACGAAACTTAATCATACTAGTTGTTCGTCCCTTAATTAAATGTATCACCGTTTCGAATATGTATTATTGCTGCTTCTCGGTAACGGTAAGAAATTTCCACCCGCGAAATTTCTCACGCTGGCCATTTGACGAACTGTAGAATCAGAGCGAGAAGAACGAGCACTTTACGTATTATCTCACATATATAAAATCTGCGGAATATTTCTGCTAGGAATTAGCTACACGAAGGGAGTAATAGAGTTGAGGATGAAATTTTTAATATTATACTGTTAGAATACAAAGGGTTTACTAATAAGGCTTAACGGTGTAAATAGTGTTTTATCGTGGATAGATAACGAACTAAGGTAAATATAATACTGATTTACGAAGGTTGTAGAGGAATACCGGAAGATCTGCTAAAACTGCAATATTTATGAGGGAGAAAACAATTATGATTGACAGGAAAAATGTTCAATTAACGCATAACAGAGTAAATACTGTAAGTAGATAAGTAGCATAACGTGATGCAAAGAAGCGTGTAGATTTAGATTAGTTACAAGAATAGCTGAAATGAGTATTGTTTAATTTATTTCAAGTTTATTTCGTTTAGTGTACTGCAATCAGTCCGTAGTCCTCTTTGAACCAAAATATTCGAAGAAAAAAGAATTTCTATTAATCCAGTAGTAACAGAAATAATTAAGATGATCAAGTTACATTGTCCACCTTGTATATAATAATAAATTTCGTATTTACAAAGTGTACGTTTCTCTTTTAACTCCGATTGTACGTGTTCACGTGCGCATTTTCACGACCTGATTCCTAAGTATGGGTGGAATATGCGGGTAATTAACGTGAATCATATTTGTCTGGTTACGGTGCTGTATTACGTATTCCGGTGCACGTGTGCCGGAAGATGGTCGATCGAGAAATTTTCTGTAACGGGTCCCTTTCTGAAAAATGACACGTTCTCCTTTTTCCGGCGTCCCGTTTTGAATTAAAGCGCTGTCACATCGAGAGGGAGAAGAGAATTAAGCAGCAGCCGCTCCTCCTCGTTGCGCTCGCTCGTAATTAATTTCCATTGCGTAGGCATCATTTTTTTTTTTTTTTTTCTTTCGTCCCGTGGAAAGTTCGTGTTATTATGTGGTAATTTGTATAGTATCGGGTTACAATTATTACACAATGTTTGCCGGTGCGTTTATTTTAATTAATTACACCGGGTGTACGCTATAGCCAGTCCGCGGCCCAGCCATGCCGCGATTAATCGAGGTTGCCAGAATCGTAACGTGCACACGCTCCGAAATATTATAGTAATTAACGGATATTTGTTCTCAGTAGTGGAAGAGATCTCCTTCTCCGATCGAACCCGACAATACGTGCAATCACGTTACACGTGTAATCACTGTCGAATCATCCGTTCGTTGTCACAGCTCTGACGTGGTAATGTAATAAATCAATGTTGGCCAATTGCGATTTATCGCCGTGAATTTTCGGCGAAACCATTATTATGACACCGTTAAGGAGATTTATTGTCAACTGGTGTACGAGAGCTTGCAACGTTCCGTGTACATCAATTGAATTTTAACAAGTATGGACAATATTCGAGACGAAGGTCAGGTTTGGTTAGGTTCGACGGTGTTTCAACAACCTAATAAATTTTTTCACGATGTATACTTATCGGTAGTTTGAAATAATTCGCCTATTTTCTGCAGTCAAAGTAAATCTGTAATATAGTAGGTAGATACGTGAATTTCTAATTTATAAAGAACAGAATGAAAAGTAGTTCCGGATATTCTATAAAATAAAATAATGTTAAAATAAAAATTGGTGCATATGAAATATCGTTTTTTTGAAATGAAACTTTAAATACACTGTGTCTGTTTAAAAAATAATTTATATAATCGAAATAATTTCCATATGATTCTATACACTTTTTCTAACAATTTAGTTTCGTTATTTCAAAATAAAAATCATTGGTCTTTGAATATAAAAATTCTTTGATTGCTACTATCAGTGTCTTCATTTTGGACTAATTTATTTATTAATAGTGCCTTTTGGGGAAAGGTCTATCAGATACTTCATTTGCAATTTCATTTCATTCAATTTCAAAATCTCTCAGATGAACACGTGTACCCTAATCTTGTTTTATCTCCACGTGGTTAGAATCGAGATACTGTTTTACAAGGCGTGGTGAATTTGTTGGGTCAGTGGTCCCGTTTTCAGCAATGTAAGAATGCAGATAGTCGATCGCCTAGGGAAACGAGGAAAACGAAGCTGTTGACTTTCCTACAGAGAAGAACGCGATCTTCGAGGCGTGTACTTCTACACGCGTTCTCTGATACGGGTGCGTGCTAGATTTAGAATGTTTACCGGTACTGTGCTTTTTACCACTGATTTGCGTAGACCTTGTTCGCCAATCAGCGATAAGCCTGATCGCCTGTGACTCGACGTTAATTTGGATCAAGGTAATTTATCTTTTACCTGTTTATGTCTTATTTGTTACGTGATAAATTGTGTTAGGCGCCCCAATTTCAATTAGTATTTCAAGATTAATATTAATACGAGATTTCTTTATTATTTAATCTGATCGTTAATTCAGGCTTTTCTTTTAATTTCTATTTCTCTCTGCGAGCTTTTTCTAGGTATCTCGAAACACAAATATTTTCTACACAATGATCATAATTAGAAGCATAGATATTGTACTTAAACGATCTGTTAAACATTTTCTTAAATAATTTCACGTAAAATAGGCATTACAACGTTACGACCTTCGTTACGATTTTTATTTAGACTGCTCGATTTATTTTTCTTTGTTCGTCTCTTTTTTTATCTTCAAGCAGAGCTCGTCGAGTTGACGCACAATTAAAAATCCTTCTATGTTTATACTCACGATTCTTGCTACATCCAGTCACGTGCATAAATGTTTTCCTTTGCGTAGCAGTGTTTCCCAGGCCTTGGTTGTCCAACCTTCGATTTCTACTGCTCTAAAAATTTCTTTTCCAGTGTAAGTTACGTGCATGGTGCACGTTAAGCGAGAACGAAAGTGTAAGAAAAACGTAGCGTGATAAGTGACTCGCGCTTTCAATATTGAACGAAGACTTATGCAAATACGCGATTTCATGATGTGTAACATTGGGACAGAATTATACGAACAACAAAGTCTACGGATTGAAATTATAATTAAAC